GAAGGTTTCTGTTCATTTAGAGCTTTACATTTTTTGTGAAACAAATAATGATGTAATTCTAACTTGTGAACCAAAATTTGCTTTCAACTGGAGGTTGTACAGATCAACTTATGGAATACTTCATCAAACGATACAATTTTATAACATTTCTTATTTGCTTTTGTGATTAAGATATCTTTGCAGATAGGAGGCATGGAGGGGATCATTTGAGTATTCCTGAACCTGAACCTGAACCTGAACCTGGGTATTCCTGCTCTGCATGCTGGCTTCTCTTTTGAGTGTACACTGAAGAGGCAGCTGTGAAAGCATGAGTTCAGGGTGGAAAAGCGATCTAGATAGCACATAAGTTATAGCTGCATTGATCTGCCTTGATTCAGGCAACATCCGTAAGAGCTCTTTCTCCTGCCTCATCTCCTTGGCTCTCTCCAACTGTCTGAACCTTTCTTGCAGAAGAGCAATGGATGGATGAACGACTGTTGGATCAATCTGTCTATCTCCACTCATTGGAAGATGAAGAGTACACTTTAAGGAGACCTCAAATGCATATGCTCATAATATAGGACATAGCTAGGACTTAAGATGATTATTTTAATTCATTCATTCCGGCTATTTGATTCTGTACGACTATAAGTTTGGAATGGACAAAGGCAGCTGAGCTGCAAAGTGGACGGACCTTCCCATTATATTTAGCTTTGAACATTCTATTTTTTTCATTTGTGGACAACACAAAGCTTGAACGCTGTAAACACAATTCCGGCATTGATGTTTTTATCAAAGAAAACCATTTTGTGGTGAGGAGAGAAAAGAAGAATAATCTACCAAAGCCAAGCCCTTCTTTCTCTCTGTACGTGTTCTATTTTGTCTTGAAGCTTTTGGATGGAAATAGCATGGAAGATGAAAGTTAAGACATTAGATTGGATCCGTGGTTGTTGGGGGAGTGAAATTTGAAATGCAACATGTACCCTAAATCTAGAGATAGATATCTATTACCCAAAAAAGAAAAAAAAAAAAGAAAAAAAAAACTCATGAATTTAGGATAAGTGTTTATTTAAATTCTAATTAAGTACAATCAATACAAAAAGATTTGTCTTCAAACATGTACCATTCATTGAATTTGCTGAATGATTTTATCAAATCACATTTGAATCCGTAAGTTAACGTATGCAATTAAATACAGAAAACAATTTGAGAAAATAACTCTTAAAAAATAATAAATGAGAGGATGATAAAGAATTTTTAATATATCAAATTTAAAATTTTTTTTTATATATTTATTTTTACAATTAAGTCTTAATATCCCTTATAATAGTAGAAAATGGATTACAAAGTTTGATTTTTTTTTTCTTTCAACCGTAGTAGTTCATAATAATATAAAAGAAGGCAAAAAAAAAAAATTAAATTACACCAAGCTATAAAAATAAAATAGTGATCATTAGATAAAAAGGGTAATTACTATCATAATTTAGTATAATTTAAATTGCATAATATTGTTTTAAATAAAATATGTAATATTCAAAATTATAAAAATAGTGCAATTTATTAAAATTAATTTTACATTGATGGCTTCTATCAATAAAATAAAACAAGTGATCAAAACGCGTTACGCACGGGTTTTCAATCATTTTGTGAAATTTTTAATTAAGAGTTTATTATTTATTTTTACATTGAAAAATACATTGAAAATTTCATAAAAAAGGAATACACTAACAGAACTTAAATTTATTAAAAATTTTATTGAATTAATAACTAATGTAGAATACTTTGAATGGAATTTTAATCTTCGTTGTTGCTGTTTTTCTAGATAGTTTGATTGTGTACTTGAGAGCTGAATATTTTTCTCCTGTAATTTGATTAAAAAAGTAATTTTTATAATTATAA